ATAGAAAAGGATTAGACATGTTCTTCTTGGCCACAGATGGTAGAATTAGAACAAACAGGTGAGAGATATAGAGATGATTTTGGCTCAGTATAAGGAAAATCTTTGTTATTAATAAAACTGTCCCAACATAGACTAGATAGATGCATTGAGTAGTAGAAGGTACTACTACACTGGGGGAGGGAGGCAGTCTTCTAGAAGAAACTGTCAGATCATGTAAAGGATGTTGTAAAATAGTTTTCTTTTCTGATGAGCTAGATGATCTCTGGGGTTCCTTACATTTCTGATATTTTATGACTTGGTGAACATCCACTATATCTAGTCAGCTCCAGAAATGCATTATTCCACTGTTTACTCTGGACACAGTAAGTCAAAACCTTCCATTGCTACAGTACAAGGGTGCTTTATCTGCATTCATCATCCTTGTAACTTCACCCTGCCTGGCCACCACTCCCCTCTACATGTTGTCATCCTGTATTAGAATGGAAGCTCTTTGAGGGTAAAGACTGTCTCCTTTGTGTTTGTAGCCTCAGTACTTAGCACCAGGTCTAACACATAGTAAATGCTGTAGAAGAGCATTTTCATTCATTCTATCTACACATCCAAGTACATGAGAGGGTTGCATAACAAAATGTTAATGAATCTTATGGCAGTAAGCTGGAACTGGGAAGGGGGTAGGGCAAGGGAGGCTACAGGGAAGGTCTTGGCGATATTGGGTTTTAGCTGATTCCCCTTTACGGTTATAGACAATGGTCAACATGGAGAATTGGATGTAAACATGAGACCTGGGGACCCACAGTCCTGAAAATGGATTAGTATGAAGGGTTAGCCAATGTGGAAGAATCTAAACACCCTTGATAGTCTCCCCTGCCGTCCTTTCACACTGTACCTTTCTGTTTTTACTTACTGCCTACCATCCCTTAACTTTTTTTCCAGATTGCCATCAGAATTGCTTTTCCAAAAAAGGAAAAAATGTTATTAGGTTTACCCTGCTCTTCAGGCGATATGAATGGGCAGTCACAGACATAGACTCTGTTAGGAGGCTACCTGCTTAACCATCCTTGGCAATGCCGCAATTAACAGCTCATCCTCAATTACCTTCTAGCTGATTGGTTTGGGGAGGTGGGAGAGGCCAGCTGAGAGTTTTCTTGACTCTGCCATTTGGCTCTGTCCCTGGACATCCTCTAATTGGAGTTCTTGATAATTATTTGATCTTGTGCTATTTTTAAATTTTACTTTGAGTAAAGCCCAAACAATCTGGCCATGATACAAAAACAGTATGGCCCCCGAAAACCTTGCCAGATGGATTTCCCATTATTCCTTTTCAAGTCCATTCAAGCTAGTCTTACTATTCCCACCCCAAATTCCATCTCTTGCTTGTTCTGTTCCTTCTCTCTCACCTCTTCACCTTCATTTCTTAGAACCTTTAGTTTCCCTCAAGGCTTAGCTCAAGCACCTCCTTCTACATCAGGGGTTCCAACCATGGAGAGATTTCAGGGCAGGGGCCTATGAATTCAGATGGGAACTATTTACATCTTTAATTTCACTAACATCTAACTGAAACTTAGCATTCCCTTCAATTATGAATGTAGGTAATAAACTAGTCTGAGAAGGGGTCCATAGGCTTGCCAAAGGGGGTCATGACACCAAAAATATTAAGAACCTTTGTTCTACACTAAGCTTTTCTTGATACCCTCCTCTTCCTCCCTCTCCTTCCCCCCCAAATCCCTCCACCAGGCTGCTAGGGCCTTCCTTCCAAAATCACCTGTACCTATTTCACACAGTGTATTTTTTGCATATACCTAGTTTGGGCTGTAAGGACAGGATTGTCTTTTGTCTTTGCATTTCCAGTGACTGGTATACATTAAGTACTTAATGTATACTTGTTGATTTTTTTCAAAGATCACTTATAGTGTCACAGCAATCACATTTGCCACTTCTTTCAGCACTCTGGGATATAGTTTGTCTAGACCTGGTGACTTGAATATCTCAAGGGCAGCTGGCTCAGTGCTCTCTCACTACTTTCTTTCTTTTCAATTCCTTATTATTTCTACTGTACTGTTTACCAACTGGTCATGTTTATGTGAGTATATATATATGAAAATCTATCATGAAAAACCATCCAACTAATATACATTCATAGAGTATCTACTTATACAGCTACCATATGAGTGAATGCTTCCTTTTACCATTCAGATAAAATTAAGAGCTAAAGCAATCTTTCCTATAGTTTGGAAAATGACAGGGATGAAATACAGTATAGCTTGATTGATTAGTTCTTTACTTTAAAAAAACCAATAGAAATGCCTTTTTTTGAGCAGTGGAGAATGAAAACTGAAACTGCTGTTCCCTACTTATAGTCCTATTTCTAACCTTAATCATGGCATGGAGGTGACTCCAGGTTCCTGAAGGCTATGTCAGTAGAATGTAAGCCCTGGCAGATCCTGCCTAGTTAGAAAACAGGCCTACCATCTGTTGGCTAGCCTAGCTAAATTCTGAGAGGTTCAGGGAATTGATCCCAGAGTGGTGACTTTTTTTTTTTGTCACAACACCTCTTGACTGTAATAATGACTAGTATGTGTGTACATATGCGCGCGCGCGCACACACACACACACATCCCCTTAACATTTTCAGAGCTTTTTATGTACCTTATCTAATTTGAGCCTTACAACAACCCCATGTGGTAGACACTAGAGGCAACATTGACCGCATTTTACAGATGAAAAAATTGAGGTTAAGTAGCTTGTCCATGATCATCCAGTAGCAAGTGTCAGAGGTGAGATCTGAACTCAGATTTTCCCGGACTCCAAGTCCCGGAGCCAGAAAGACTTGAGTTCAAGTCTTATCTCTGACACATAATATGTGACTCTGGGTAAGTTACCTAAACTCATAAAGCCCTTAAATTGAGGTTCCAACCTGCAGGGATAGAGGAAGTTTCTGACCAGAGCCCCCTACTCCAATGAACTCCCTATGCTGTTGTGCTATCTGTCAAGTTTTAAAGGAATGTACTCTGTCAATGAAGGGAGTGTTCATACTGATAAAATAATGAATTCCTTAAACATCAAGGTTTTTTTAGTCTTTAGAGAATGTTCATGTTTGTCAGTCTCCTCATTCCAAAAGACTGAAAACTTTTTGAAGCCCAGGACTTTGTCTCACCCAAATTATTCAACTCCTATAGTATTTAATTCAGTCATATACTTCTTAGGAAAACAATAAATACTGGAGCATCCTCTTGATTAATGTTCATCTACTTCAATACAAATATTCTACACTGAAAAACAAGATACATTTTAAAAAATAGAATACTTACAGTGATAAGCAAAATGATAGCTCCTTGGACTACAATAACATTAGGGCTTCCCTCAGGATAAAAAAGGGGGATTGTATCTAACAAAATACAGGAATAGAAGATATGTGTTTATAAATAGAATTGAACTCATCTTGAAAGATGACTTGTCAGAATCACTTTTCCAGCCTCCAAAAGGGTTAAGTGGGTGATGGTTTCCAGTGTCACTGACTCACACCATTATTAATTGTATTATCACACGAAATTGAAGGTAGTACCTTTGTATCTCTATGTGAATAATTAAAAAAAAGGCTGCCAGATGGAGAATATGTGTGTTAACATCATATTAAAACAATGTCGACTTCTTTGGCTGGAAAGATTAATGAAGTAAAATGTAATTTCATTTTAACTAAATGTTCTAGGCCTATCATTAGTTAGCTTCCCCATATATTTGAATTGATAACCTTTAAACAACCTTCAGAATTTGCTGCAGAGAAACTAGGCAACGTTAAACAACATATTTTTAGATATTAGTTATGAAAGAAAATGTTTCTGTCATCATGCTCCAGTTTCATTTTGAATCTCTATTATAAATTATTACACTATTAGTACAAGACTAGAATATCATTTTAACAACAGGACTGGATTTATATGCAGCAGTATTTCAAAGCAGATGAAGTACTTTCACAGAGAAACTTTTTATACATATGGCATAGTCCTGTTTTCTTCATTTCCCCTCCGATTTGGGGACTTCTTTCAAGTAAGTCTACTGTCTACATGTTTGCCAATGACTCATTTGTTACTCAGGTTGCTTCAAGATGGCAAAAGCAGATGTTCTGAGGGGGGAAAAAATAGAAACAGAGGTAGGAAAGGTTGTGGTCTGTGAGTAGAATTTCAGAATTCATAAAATGGATTCCAGAATGAATCCAGAACTCCATGAAATGATGAGATCTGAAGGATGGTCAGATGGGTATGTGACTGAAACCAGTCAGGGTTAAAGGAGGTGGAGAAGGTCCAGTAGAATGTTAGCGTCTTGAGAGTAAGGGCTATTGAATTTTTGGTTTTGTGTCTCTAAGCATCTAGCTCAAGGTTAAGAACATAGTAGATGCTTATCAAATTATTGTTCAATTGAATTAAGGTCACTAAAGTTAATGAGGTTGAAGAGTTGACTTGAGATCATAATGTTAACAGATTATCAATGTGAATAGTGAAGTCCCAGAAGAAGATGGTAGAGGATGGAATAAGTTGGTCAAAAAACATTTATTAAGTGCCTACTATATGCCAGGCATTGTGCTAAGTGGATACAAAGAATGGTAAAAAGACAGTCACTGCTTTCAAAGATCTCATGGTCTAATGGAGTCCAACGATTAACCAACTAATATTCTTCGTAATTTGTAAAACATACACAAAAGACATAATAGCATGAGATAAAATGAAACAATGCCTCAGCTAATTGTATTTATTGATAGCACACAAAACCTTTTTGCTCTAAAATTTTATTATTAATGTTTTTATGTGGGAGCAATATGATTGAATATGCTTCATTATTTTTGAAAAAAATCTGTGCGTATTCTGAAGGATAGGGAAGTAATTATTTCTTAGTAGTTAATTATTCATATAATTATGTCAATGTAGCTAGCTGATCAGGTTAATTTCTCTTTTTTAAGTTACTTTTAAATTGACAGATGCAAAATATAATACTTGATAATATTACAGGATATGGACTTATGTCTGAAGGACAGCTGCCATGGAGGTAAACATGTGCCCTGACATGTCAGAGAAGACACATGGGAACTCCTTTGATTAGTTCCCAGTGACTATGGCTGCCTCCAAGATGATAAGCAACTAAAGATGATTGGAGACTGAAGGGCTGCCCCTCTGCAGTGGTAATAAAGGCAAACTGGTCATGTGGTCTCTCTCTTGGAATTCCAGACTAGAGTTCAACAGAGTAGAGCTTTGTTCTGTTGGGGGAGCAGTGTGAGTGTGTGTGTGTGTGTGTGTGTGTGTGTGTGTGTGGTGTGTTTCTCCCTTTCTTCTACCTCCAGGAGCAATAATGGCAAAGAGAACAGAAGCACACAGCAATGGTAGATATGTGGGGAGTTCAGTGATACGGTTTCTGAACTATAAGTTGCTGTGTAGATAAGAGAGAAGGGTGGTTTTTTTTTCTTTCCAGTTTCTTAGACAGAATAATTCTAGAATCTAGCCTTCTAGTTAGAGAAGAGACAGTCTCTGGCAGTACCTGCTATGAAAATTGCCTTGTGGGTAACTCCAAAGCCTCCCACAAAGAGCCTTTCCATGCCAGCATGCTTCATGGAGAAGAAAGAGGATCTTCAACATGGCCTCTCCAGTTGGAGGATTAGAGGCACATTATAAGTGGACAGAAAGACCTTGCCAATCCTCCCTGATAATACAATGAGTTGCTTTGTCAGTGTAGCTCTTATGTGAAAGGGCATAACTTGTTAAGCAGTGCTCCTCGCCCCCTACTCCCAAAGTGTGTTTGGGGGGGGGGCTGGGAGAAGTCTAATGGGTTATTTTGTTGTACGTTTCTGTATCTGTTTCTGAGCTCCTGTGTCTCCTTTGCAGCTTGCGCCTTTTCTGTGGGGATGTCCCATACCCCAAATCCATATTGTACACTGAGTGTTTATGTGAGAGTGAGGGATCTGATTACCCATATTTGGGACAACTGACCTGAAATATATTTAAACTTCATTTTGGAGATTTCCTAGAAGAAAATTCTAGAGAATTGGCCCAGTACTCTTTCCAGCATAGCAATATGTATATATATATATGTAGATAGATAGAGAGATACATACATACATACATACATACATATTTTAAATTTTTAGGCAGTTGGGGTTAAGTGACTTGCCCAGGGTCACACAGCTGGTAAGTGTCAGGTGTTGGTCTGAGGCCAGATCTAGCATAGCATTCTAAAAAAGTTATGGTTATATGTTTTATATAGATATATGCTTTCTACAGTGCCAAGCCAATCACAAGAGAGTTCTCATGTTCATAAAAAAGTTTGGGAGGGGTGAAGAAAGGACCTGATTCTTCCTATGTCAATCTAATATAAATTTTGCTCCATGGATTCATCTAATAAGGTTCTTAATCTGGGTCCCATCAACTTAAAAGAAATTATAATTATTGTATTTTAAAATATTTTCCCTTGGTAATCATATGTATTTTATTTTATGGATTTCAAAAATACTATTCTGAGGGGGGAGGTGTCTATATGTTTCAATAGACAGCCAATGACTTCCATGAAGCAAAAACATTTAAGAATCCTTTCAGTTAAATTGTCTCATACTCTGAGCTTTCAGCAGCAACAGTTCCTTAGAAGATTTAGTTATCATACATATATATATATATATTTTTTTGGGGGGGTAGGCAGTAGGGTTAAGTGACTTGCCCAGGGTCACACAGCTAGTGCGTGTTACGTGTCTAAGGTCAGATTTGAACTTGGGTCCTTCTGACTCCAGGGCTGGTGCTCTATCCTCCGTGCCACCTAGCTGTCCCCTGTTGGGTTTTTTTTTTAGGCAGTTGGGGTTAAGTGACTTGCCCAGGGTCACACAGCTGATAAGTGTCAAGTGTTTGGTCTGAGGCTGGATTTGAACTCAGGTCCTCCTGACTTCAGGGCTGGTGCTCTATCCACTGCACCACCTAGCTGCCCCACTTAGAGGATTTAGAAAGATGGCATGGAGTGGAGGGCTTAGAGTCAGAAATACCTGGGTTTAAATCCTGCCTCTGGCATATATTGGCTGTGTGATTCTGGGCAAACACGTAATTTTTGAGTGATGTCAAGCAGCTCTCCAAGATGAGAATTAGCTGATATGAGTGGGTAGTGGGGATTTCCTGATGAGGAACAACAGTAAAATTACAGGTCCAGACCAGAAAAAAAAAAAGGATTTCATTCTAAAAGAAAGCTTAGAGATTATCTACTTCAACCTTTCCATTTCATACTTGAGGAAACTGAGGACAGGGGAGTTGTTCGTATAGGTAGAAAGCAGCAAAGAGAGAGTTTAAACCTGTAGCTCTGATTCCCAATTTCATATTTTCCCGCACTATACCAGACGCCTTCTGCCATCGCGTTTCAATTTTAATTATCTTCATAGACTTCCAGAAATAAAAGAGTTGTCCAAATTGAGACAAAGCTCTCTTTGTCTTCACATTTCTTGAGTTATTTCTTGGTATGGTGTTTATTTCTTTATTTAGACCAAGTATTTCAAAACATAGAGCCATTTCTGTCACATCCTTCAGACAAAGAAACATAAATGTAGTGAGAAGCAAGAAGACTTAGAGGCTATGTTGTACAGAGGCTTTGCTGCCTGCCTTTTGGTGGGATGGCCTTGGTAGAATCACAGACAACATTCCTGCAATGTGAGATGGTGCTCTTTATCCTGCAACAGCCCAACCATGGAAAGAACATTGCCTTTGAAGCCATTCACTCCTCTGTCATTGCCTGTGTGACCTTGGGCAAGTCATTTAATCACTCGAGTCTTCCGTTTCCTCATTTGTACAAGAATAAAGTCTTTAAAGTCTCTTCTAGGTCTTAATCTATAATCCTATAGTTTGCAAATCTTTCTAATAGTGCTCAGTGTGTTTCTTATATAATCTGGTGAAGTACAGTAAACTATATTATCATCACTGACATTTCTGTCTTTGAATACTGGACTGGGGAGATCCAAGTAGAGATTGGTTGGTAGAAAAACTCTTCTTGTGTCTTAACATAGTTTTTCTCTTCATTTTTCTTCTCTACATGAAAAAAGAACAAAACTGGATATTTTTTGAAACCAGTTGATTTCTACTTGGACTGTTCAGTAAGGACTGTCCAATTTAAGTGCTGCCTGATATAGATGCACTGACTACCACTGAAAGATTTACATTAAAGTCTTCCTTTTGGGAAGCATTCCACACCTTACAAAGGGTCCGAGGCTTGAAGAACTCAACCACACATGAAAAGGCCAGTGAACACAATGACTTTACCCCTATCACATAAATATTCTTTGTTCTCAGCTACTCATCTTCATAAGGTCCCAAAGGAAATTTGGGAAGTATTACTCTCTACTCACCATTCATAAAGGAAGAGACCCTCACTGAGGCAAATTGCTCTGAACAAGGAAGAATTGTCAAATGAAAGAGGCTAGATATCTTCCACCTCTTACCTGGAAGTGACAAACCTCAAAGTTCTAAAAGGGGAGAGGACTCTCCAAAGTTTCCCTTCCTCAGAGAATAGAAAGCACTGAATCTGAAGAGAACTGTAACACTCCAGTTGAAGAAAGCAAATTAACACCTAGCCAAGCCACAGATTGAAAATGGTAAAGACTGTGGCAGCCCACTGAAGAGTGAGCCCCACCCCAAACCATCATATCAACCTATCTAGCAGACATATATCATGTCTTTGAAGAGCCCAGGGGCTGAAATATCTGACCTTCCTAGTCTTGCAACATCCCAACACCTGGGAAACCTGCTCAGACTATCCCAGCAGCATTCATGCCCAACAGTCAAGCAACCTCTCTGTTCCAATCCAGCAGCAACTGAGTCTAATTATTCTACCCAAATGTACACACACACACTCACACACACACACACACCCCATGACTTCCACCACTATCCTGTTTGGTCTTCTAAGCAGATTCTAACTACCTAGGGATATGCAATTAGACAATATTCCGGATGTAGTGTGAAGAAGACAGAAATCAATAAAACAATCACCTCCTTGAAGTGCTTGTGTTGATTTAACTATCTATAAAATGGGAATAATAATGTTACCTCACCTCACCAGCATAATAACCTTAACATGATTCAAAATACATTACTCCATGTAGAAAGAAAAAAAATCTTCCTTTTGAATCATTAAAAATAATATTGGGTTAAGGAGACTGGACAGCATCTGATTACAAATATTCTATTCATCATGCTAAATAAAAATATTATACCAGAATTTTTCATTTCCCATTCCCCCCAGTTTCAGAAAACAAAATTATAAAATTTATTTAAAAAAACAAAATTATCTCTCTCATGAAATGTTCTATTTTTCAGGCATAACTGGAAAAACTTCTGGATTCTAAGACTGTAAGCTAGCATTTTAGAAATGATTCTTCTGTTTTTGCTTCATTATATATATTTTAAAGGAAATACAGTTTATTACTGGGAGAAACAGAACAATGAATGGGGTGAAATTCTTCTTGAGACAAGAGTGAGGAAGCAAGAAGACTAGGGCTCTATGCTTCATTATTAAATGAACAGATTCATGCGCATTCTCCCCTATCTCCATCACCTTTACATGTGTAGATATAAAGAAAAATGATGTACATGATAGGAGTGGTCTCTCTTTATTGCTTTTTTGTTATTCTTAAACCTCATGGACTTTCTTCCCCTGAGGACCTCAACTTGAAGACATTTTGAGGCTTTAAGAAATCATGAGAGTTTGTTTTCTGAACTCTCTGGGACCTCACAGGTGTCTATGAGCATCCCTTTTTAGGGTTGTCCTTGAAATTATTGTGCCAGAGTGACTTTGAAGTGACTGCAACCCCAAAAGCATCACCCTTCAGGATGTCAGGAGATGGAGTTTCTGCAGGGCTACAAGGCAATGAATGAGCACAGCTGTTGCTATTTCTGATTAAGGGGAAGAATTCCTTCTATTATTCTCCCTACTGTGGGATCTGCTGACACAGGTAAAAATTGATTGTGTTGACAATTCTGTCAAGGTGTTCAAAGGTTCTAGGGAAAAGGAAGACTGCTGGAGTTTGAATGCCTTGGTAGGAGAAGAGATAGGTAATTATTTGTGTAGAGAATGTATGCTGTAGAGCTGTAATATTTGGTGCGGAGAGGGCATTTGATCAGAGTTGGAGTAAATGCTGGAGAAAGAGACTAAAACTGGGAATTGCAGGGTGTCCATATTGTGGGT